CATTATCTGTATGTTTGCAACATATTGCAGATCGGCAAGATAACTTTTATAACCGCAAAGGTGTCTAAATGTCCTGGACATAACGACTAGAAAGTTGTCATATACACCTATTGAACATTGCTGCATAATACGTAAAAAACTACGTGCCTTCCAATTGTAAACACACTTTAAAACACTTTTTGAAACGAGAAAAATAACAATACAGAGTTCTAAAGTTCTCAAGAATAAAAATATTATACCAAGGACGTTGCTGGTTCAAATATGGCTAGGTTGTATGTTATTATGTTATTAAACAAGACCACATTCCATTTTTACTATGTATAGGTTAATTTCAAACACATGGGAGGACAGAAATGGAACATGTACGTCTCTCATATTTTTGTTATAAGTTTGTACCTTAGTTTCACCTTATTCTCATGCCCTTTACTTAAATGTTTTAGTACTGTCGTTTTTTTTACTTGAGCTGCGCCACCACAAAAAAAGGAACATAAGAGCACGCTTCTTTACCAATGGGATTGGAAGTTGGTGGAATGATTTGAAGTAGTGACCCACAGTACCACACACCCAAAGTACCAAACTGAAAATTCGACACAAATTTATGCTATTTCTTATAATTACCTTCGATACAGTTCTAACAAGTTCGAACAAGCAACAGCTAAAGCCTAAAACAATATTGATATCTAACTAATGATGACGGTAAAAAATTTTCTCTATTTTGGCAAGAGAATGGTTAAATAAGATATGAAATACCAACATTGTGACACTATATTTTCAGCTCGTGCAAAACGAGCAAGCTGTTTTATACTGAGGTCACAATTCCGACACGGGGCCCGGCCGGGTAGCTTTTGGGAACGAAAAGTACGATATAAAAGACAACAAAACACAGAAAAGTTTTTAATGAAACCATGGGCACTATGTCTGTATGTTCTTGATATGAATTGTTAATTTTTCGTTACAAACAGCCAGGCCGGACCCCGGTTTGGAAATGTGACTTTAGCGTTACAAGTAAACTCTCTGCAACATTTGGCAGAGTTGCAGCCAACTCCAAACTAGGCCCCCGTAAATTATGCCTCACGGACTGAACGAAGTCAGAACGGCCATGTTCACCTTTCTGTGACCCTAGCACTGTCACAAGGTGATAAATATCCGCGACTTAGCCCGAATATCGGCCCAAAACTCCCCCAAAATGCAGAGGTCACACAATTCGGGAACATGGCGAGACACCAGAACATTTTGTGAATTCGGTACGTGTCTAATTTTTTTATAATCCGACCAAAAATATGTATATAAGAAGTAATGAGCTGCGTGAATTAAACGTTACAGTGCGTTAGCTATATATACATTTCCACAATACACAGGTAAGTTGGACCAAAAGTTGGCGCGAGTTTTGTTAAAATGTTGCTTAACATTCATCTAGATTAACGGGAACTGCAGGGTTTTTTTTCTAGCGAGTTTTTAGTATGCATTCACGTCTCTGTGTGTGCACATTTTCTGTGGGGGGATCATGTTTGGAATAATATACACATTACACAGACGTGTATAGAGGTCACAGTAAGTATGACTAATAGTCCTGGCCTTCAAATTAAAGAACTCATGTAGGGTACTCGGAATATGCATGTGCGTTTTCTCGCAATGACGCCCCACGTTTGAAATATATCACGCAACACAGCAGTAGTTGAGCTAATTCTAGTATCACTCCCAAAGGCACGCTTTCGGTACACGGTGCACAGTGGAAAACGCAGTAGGGTTGTAGTATGAAAGCTTATTACTAAGCAATTATGACACTGGGTACAACTGTGAGAATTCACGCTAAACTACATGTGAGAAAGCAGACAAGTGTGTTGACAAAAATAACACTTCTTTGGTGGGGAAAAACAACTAGCTTGAAAAGCGCCCCCGTCGCTGTGTGCTTTGCTTTTCAAAAAAGAAATATTTCAACGAATCTTGAAGTACAGAAATAGCAACAATAACGGAACATTGGCGGAGAAGAGATCTACTCTAGTCTACTCTACTCTAAAGTATTGTGTTTAACTGATGGTAACGCTGTGTTTTCTGCTGTCAAAAAAGAAATATTTCAACGAATCTTGAAGTACAGAAATGGCAACAATAACGGAACATTGGCGGAGAAGAGATCTACTCTAGTCTACTCTACTCTAAAATATTGTGTTTAACTGATGGTAACGCTGTGTTTTCTGCTTTCAAACAAGAAATATTTCAACGAATCTTGAAGTACGGGAACAGCAACAATAACGGAACATTGGCGGAAAAGAGATCTACTCTACTCTACTCTACTCTAAAGTATTGTGGTTAACTGATGGTAACGCTGTGTATTCTGCTTTCAAAAAAGAAATATTTCAACGAATCTTGAAGTACAGAAATGGCAACAATAACAGAACATTGGTGGAAAAGAGATCTACTCTAGTCTATTCTACTCTAAAGTATTGTGGTTAACTGCTGGTAACGCTGTGTTTTCTGCTTTCAAATAAGATTTATTTCAACGAATCTTGAAATACGGGAACAGCAACAATAACTGAACATAAGCGGAAGAAGAGTCCTACTATACTTTACTCTATAGTATTGTCTATAGTATTCTCTATAGTATTCTTAACTGCTGGTAACGCTATGTTTTCTGCTTTTCAAACATGAAATATTCCAATGAAACTTGAAGTACGGGAACAGCAACAATAACGAAACATAAGCGGAAGAAGAGATCTACTCTACCTTACTTTAACGTATTCTCTTTATAATATCTACTGGTAACGCTGTGTGCTCTGCTTTTCAAACAAGAAATATTTCAACGAATCTTGCAGTACGGGAACAGCAACAAGAACAACAACGAAACATTGGCGGAAGAAGAGATCTATTCTACTTACTCTAACGTGTTGTCTATATCTGCTGGTAAAGTTTTGTAGTTTGGCGTTGCCCAGGCCTAACCTGTAAATCGGATTTGTGTTGTGACGTGATCACAAGTCCGGATCTACAGGGTAATCCTGGGGAACAAACATGTCGATTTCACACACAGACAGACGTCCTCTCGTGCCCAGGAATTTAACGGATTCGAGTTTGAATTTTCAAACTGTTAACGGTTAATTCAACGAACACAGCGAGAAACTATCTAGGTCTTACAAAATCCCGTTAATAAACTGGCATAATAATGTATAACAAGACCGTGTTACCGAATACAAACGTTTTAAGTTAAAATCTATTTTTGTGGGTCTGTTTCATATTAAAATTCATGGCGGCTGTTTCTACAAATATCACAGAACGTAAAAAAATTGTTGTAGTGTTTTCCATTGACATACAGAATAACATAGAATACCATAGTATAATAACCCTCGAATAACGTAGTATAATACAATATAAACTTCTAACAAGACCCTGCAAAATGCCATTTGTATTCTGAGACAAAAATGTATAGCAAAATCGTCTTACCAAATACACAACTTTTTAACTTAAAACAACATGTTTGCTGGAAGTTTTTGTGTGTCAATTTCATGATGTCTGTGTCTACAAACATATGAAATATATTTGTTAATGTTGTATTCCTACTGTTAGTTCCTGAGACAAAAAATGTACACCAAAACCGTCCTACCAAATGCAAAACAATGTCTGGGCCAGAATTCTACCTTCGTTTTTTTGTGTGTCTGTTTCTTTGCAGCTATGGCTACAATAAAAGATGTCTGTTGCAGTAAGTATTTCTACAGCCTCGAATAGCATACAAAATATGTATTAGGTTTTAAACTTATTTTAGACTCTAAAAACAGTCAGAAACAAGAAAGGAAAGGAGAGAGAAAGAAGAAGAGAAAGGAAAAAGAGTCAGATATGTCCTACTAGATCGAATGGCTCCACTCTACTTTACTCATGGAAAACTCAAGATATTCCTTGTTCCGCACATCATATGATAATATACATGTACATACACTGTGTTGGTATTAACAAGCTGGGATTCTTCTATAGAAAAACTGTTGCCTGTGTTAGAAAAAGATCAAACGCAGGACATGTTTTAAGGCAGCAAAAAGGGCTGTTTTTTTTACCTGTCGATATCTATTAAGACTACTCTACTGTACTCTATTCTACTCTACTCTATCCTTACGTCAAAGAAGTCTACATATGTACAACGCTAGGATAGCTAACAGATGCTGAAAAGAGGAACACAATTTGTGACTACAAAAAGACATGTAATTATAGAATAAAACGGCTGTTGGGTACTGGGAATTTCATTTAGTTCATGCACACGCAAACCGTGACAACTTTGGCCTCAAAAATATGGCAAAGGTATTGCGTGGCATTTTACTAAACTAGATGTTAAGCCACCTCATATCACCATTTCGAACAGAAAAAAAGCAGACATGACACTTTTGTAAAAAATATGGAACATAAAGAATAATTATGAAAATCATACTACCCGGTGAAAGCAGATACAGTTATAAATCGTAATATTATTCAAAATGTCCAAAATACGTCGGGTTGAAAAGCAAGATGGATTCTGGCATTTATGTCTCCCCACGAAAACATTCGTCTTTACATTTTTATCTTAAAAATTCATGCCATGTTATTCATCACTTTGTACAAGTCGCCCTCGCCTAGAAAAGGGACTGTGTAGAATGCTAAACATGGACTTAGAAAGCTCTGGTCTAGCTAGCCTCCACCAGGTCTTTCTACGGGAATACGGATCGTAGAATTCGGCAAAAAAAGAGAGTAGAATTGGCCAAGGGAGTCCGGCCGCGGGGAGGTAGTTTCTGTCCCTCCAATCAAACCTACAAGGCGGACAAACTCCCCTGGCAATTATTCTCCTATATATAAAGCCAGCGTAGTTAGTCTGGTAGAGACTAGCTCTGTTCTGTATCAACACAGTGCAACACTTGGAGCAAAACAGTACATGTCAACGTACGAGTAAAAGGCACGTGAAATGTGCTTTCACCGAGTTCAGTTCAACTAGCCTACGTGCACTACTACTACACTATGTTTTCTTTTTCAAAAATTATTTAAAAAAACCTCACTTGTGACCGTATGTATTCCAGCACATGTCTTGTTTCTCTTGCACGCATATCCGGTGTATATTTCTGTTTGTGTATGTGATAAATCATATGATAAATCACTGATACTGGCAACCTTTTGACGTAGATATATTTAACTGCTCTCTGTCGGGATGTAACAGTTCATAATACTTTAAACGCGGTCTTGGGAATGCGTGCTTTACTTTTAATTACTATCAATTGCTGTGACCATAAATTGTACCAGCGTATATGTGGATATATATCTTTCACATTCTGGGATGGCGAACAAAACGCAACAATATGCCGAGGTATGATATTATCTTATTATGCACAAAATGCTGATCAAATCGCTGTTTTTCTAATTATTATTACGTGTCATACAAGCTTATGGAATCTTTCTTTGAAATTGAAATGAAATGTTATCATTATTATTTGTTTTTACAGTGAGCAACATAACTGAAAATGCTGAAATTTCCATGCCAATGTTAGACACTGTGTTGGCATTTTCGTTTAGTGACACACTAGCATAGTCAGTTCAGGTATTCGACCTTCAAATTCGAATCCATGATCTTAGTAAATATGGTTTCATTGTAAAGAGCAGATAAATACGCTTTCTTATGATACATAATACTATACTATTGATGAAGTAATAATGTTGATATGATTGATCTAATTTAAGTTTTTCTGTTGAGTGTATAACTGCCTTCTTTCTTGTCACTAGCTATGGTATGGTATGAACATGTATTTGTCATGGTTGGTCCTGTCCAAATCCTATTTACTGGTTGTTTAAGTCTGTAAAACTTCTTTGAGTTTCATAAATATCTGTGGAAGAACTTTTTGGTCTCAGAATCATCTTTTTTTGCATGTGTGTGTGGAGGCATGAAAAAAGGTCGGATGAATTCTCACAGTCTACGATTGAAAAAAAATTTCCTTTTAAGTTCCCCTTTTGTGTTGGAACCGAGCTCAAACTTTATAACTATGGTTTCTACCAACACAGATGAGATTTTATTTTCTGTTACGAATGTTATCACTTGTTTTTCTTTTTTTTTCCACAGGGAATTCAGCGTTGGAACATTGTCTGGTAAACAACTTGACGAAAAGATCCTATACCGGATGCAAAGGAGACAACTGAAGGCTTTGGATACAATTACTAGCGTTTGTTCTCTGTATCTAAGTTGCTTATTCAGCCAGTTTCAAGCCTGCAATGTTCAACCAGTCAAGAACAGATTGGACTAGAGAAGAACCGAAACATCTGAGTACCATACCAAGTCATTAGCACTTGTTATTTCTAGAGAAAACATTAGGACCACCTGTGTGATATCTGGGTTAGTTGTTACCATATGGGACGACAGTACAACATTGTAACCTGCAACCCGTGGACTCTATATTATTTTACAGCTAGTGACTATACTAGTGTTATATATGCACAAGTTATATAGCACATTTCCTTGGGCTAAAACTATATCGTAGGTAAATGTAAATGAAATCATTGCTAGGGTAGTATACCGTTCGGTAGATGTTTTTCTATGTAGCAAACTACAAGTGATGTTATATTATTAGGGTTTCTACCATAATTTCTACCATAATATAAATTTAACATGTAATATTGTTGTATATCTACAAGAGGAATAAAAACGGGTAAAAACAACATTCAGTACCTTTTATATCACTGTAGTAAAATATATCTATTTCTAACACAAATCCGTTAGAAGATTTGGCTTCTTTATCATATATAATATACAGCTAGTACTTTGCAGAAATGTAATGACATACCTAGAACCTAGAGTATACTAAATTATATCAAGCAGGCAATATTGTTGTTTTTTGGCTGGGTTGGGTTTAATTGCCAATGTGTGTTGTAGATAAAAAGAACGAAATCGCTACAATGTAATATACCATAAATAAAATACTCGATACACGGAACTGAGCTAAACGTACTTTTCAATATTTGAACTTCAGGTACATTTTACCCTCCAAGTTAAAATAAAAGACATCTTCTAATTTCCAACATTGTACTACTTTGTTAAAAATCAACATGGCATTTTAACTTGGTTATTTTGGTTTCCATAGATATATAAGATATATAATTCTGGGAAATCAAATTCGCCTCTAAATTGTTTCCGTCGAATTCATTTGCAACGAAACTATGTTTCACAAAATGAATTTTAAGGAACGCGATAGATTTCTATATTGGTATCTTACAATGTAAAAATCCAGAGCATTTGTTGGTAGTTCTACAACCTACGTTTACAGTACTCAATCCAACGGTTTAGTCACAAGTGTAAAAGTATCAACCAAGGATTGACCATTCTTTCCCAGAACTATCGCAGAGTGGAACTCGCTGTCACCAAGTACAGTAGGGGCATCATCATTAGATAGCTTTAAACAATGTTTAGAGTTAGATATTCAAGGGTTAGGTGTAACAAGTTGTTCGGTGTAATGTAGCCAGTTGCTGCTGTGCCGCGTGCCTGCGAAGCTGGTGTGTTACGCCGAAGGGCGGTTATACCGGCTATACAGATACAGACACAGCTAGACCAGAATATACAGTTTGGAAAGTACATCAGTTGTGTACGTATACAAGGCACAGGAGTGTTTTTGTTAAGAGTTAGAATGAGGGTAAAGCAAAGAAAAACTACTTGCACTCGACCTTTTGAACACAGGCTGCATTTGTCATAGCTGAACAGCCTTCTAGGCGTTGGCGAGACAAAATGTCTGTGGCTAAAGCAAAATGCAGGAAGCACTTAGGTACTACATGATTTAGAGTTGCTCGGTGTCTATGGACAAAGTTTTCAGGTAAACTAAAAAAAAGTGTGAACGAAAACATAACGAAAACTTCTTGCAAATGAAAAAAGAACAGAGTTACTTTTAAAATAGAAGCAAGCAGAGGACTCAACCTTATCAGGAAATGATCATAACACATGTGAACTATCAACTAAAAAACGTATAGTTTACAATGAAATAACTTTGAAATGGTGAAATGAAATCTAAAATTTTAGCTAGCATCCTAGATATATGCCATGACATTTGGTAAGCGAGGCAACTATTAAATTTTAATATTTTTTGTGTATTGATGTCTAGAGCACATATCAGCGTATAGCAATGTAAATAACATTTACCTGTTTCACTCCCACAGAAAGTAAGCTGACACCTCGGTTTTTGCGGTAATCTTTAACTAAGAGGTCTAATTCTTCATCACCTCCAGTAAATAACGACGTGACATTTTGTCCTTTGAACTATTCATTTTTAATAAATCCTGACAATTGAAAACTCCATCTCATTTGTTTCTAACTTTCAGGTAATGGAAAACGTGCAAAACACCTAATCCCTGGTCACACTTGTCCTTTTATTAATCTAGAGGGCAATTTATTTTGATTTTGGCAACTTCGTAAATGATGTGACAGATGTCACAAGGCATATCATTTACACCTCTGTGATATAAATTCGTTACATTTTGTACCTTTTCCTGAAACATGCAAAAAACCGCTAAACATTTGTTACATCGAATTTCTCGATATATATTGTTAAATTCTTTTTTTTTAAGTTTAGGAGTTCCAAGGTAGCTTTTAGTACAATTCAGATGAAAGTAGTTAGTAATTTGATCTGGCGTTGAAAGTTTAGTACACATGTCCATTGAAGACTTGTGTATAATGTTTTGTTTTCATAGTGTTTTTTGTCAAGATACATCTTTTTCTCTGAGTGTGCATATTAGGCATGCATGTTGCGAAAAGGAATAAAAGGTCTAACTTCACATGTGTTTATTGTTGTATGTACGAAGGTAGGAATCTACAATCTATCAATGAAACTTGCTATCATATATATTTTACATTGTTACAAAACATTTAAAACTTTTCTTGTGGCAATCTGGACATTTGCTAAGAATAGTGATTATTCTAGATGTTGTTATAATTGTATTCTAAAATGCTGGAAAACAGAGAAGTTATGAACTAGGTAAAGAAGTATGAATTGAGATCAACCTAGTTTTAAAAAGGATATCTCCGATATTTCGTACACCCCGTACAAAATAAAAATGACTATTGAAATTGAAGCCCATGAATTAGATATACCCGGTAAAAAGACAGTATATTACGTATAGATTTTTAACACAAAATATAAGATATGTAGGTAGAAGCTCTTTTTTGCTAAAAAAATTGACCAATATGTGGAGAAAGAAACGGTTCAAATGAAATCACCCTATATAAATTTTCATATAGTCCTTGTCTATAACATTTTGTTGTTACTTGAAATATAGTCGATATTCATGTATATTCCACTTGGAAATGTGGTAGATATCGATGTATTTTCTACTGGAAATTCTGTAGATATCCATGTATATTCTGCTTGAAAATGCGGTAGATATTCATGTATTTTCCACTCGAAAATGTGGTAGATATTCATGTATTTTCTAATAGAATGTCCACAAAAACCGTAGCGATTTATGTTTGATAGAAATTCTAACTATTAATTTAGAGAGATAGCATTGTTTTGTGAGTTATTTCTGAAAGACACATGTCTTCAAAAAACGTTGATAAACTACTGAAAAACGGCCAGACCTGGAGATACTGTATGTGCTTTTTTTCGTTTTTCTGGAGGTAGATGCTGCTACAAACGTGAACATATACAATTGCACAAACCTATGGAGAGACACCCAATATGAAGCACAACTACAAGGCTCTGCAGGACCCTCACAAACCAAATTTGAAGAGAGAACCCAACTGAAATTCACAATTTATATCTGGAAGAAGGTTCTATTCTACTCTACTGTACTCTTCAACTAAAATGCATCGGACAAAGGTCTATGACAAGCGATTTTTGCACCGCGACACATATAGAAGTTTGAGTAACATTTGTAACTGTATGGTCTTTTATTTCAAAGTGTAGCTTTGCTTCAACTAGCCTTATTGTCTAGGACATAGATGTAAGGTACAGTATGTTTTCTATGAAACGCTACAGAAATACCAGGTTTCTTGAAAACAGGAAAGAGGCCTTTTTCAGGATATAAGGCTTTCTGGGCGCTGATAATTCTTGGTCACTA